GGTATTAAGAGGAAACGTCATAACACCGTCATAGTGTTGAAAGCTAGGGCTATGGAGTGATTAAGTGATTAGGGCAGGGTCCCTATGACTGACTTCTAGTGGGTTTAAAAGGAGGAGGAATGAGGCCAAAATATGGACTCTGGGAGTCATGGCCACTCTGTTCTCACCCTTGTATTGTGATAATCTGGACCCCCACCAATAGGAAAGCCCCCACATCTGACTTCTGGACTTTAGACCTCCAAACCAAGAGTTAAATGAGCATCTATTTTTATGAGTGGCCTAGTCTCAGGTATTTTTATTAGTGATGCAAAAGCAAACTGAGATAATTTGTAATTCATAGGAGGACTTCGTAGAATCATGCATATGAAGCACTTTTCGTGGTACCTGGTACATAGTACTCTGTATCCAAAAAACCAAGCTGACTCTACTTCTTCCCCCACCTATGCCTTGATATATTAGAAACTGTATAAGGTGTGCATTCCCATCCCTTCCCAAGGTTCTCACCACAAACCTACTGAACCTATGCAGCTGGACTGTACATGAGGCTATGGCTGCAGAAGGAAGGGTGCTCCCTGATGCACTGGGCAGTGCCTCTGACCTTTGAGAACAGTCTCCCCTTCTCAGTCTTGCTAGAAGTTTGTCAGTCTGAAGCCCCAAAACTTCAATGTCCCCACATAGCTGACTGCAGTTTGAATTCTGGACCTAAAAATCATGCTGGGGAGACTAGCAAATGGTGTAGTGGTTACATCGTTGTACTCCCATGTAGTCAACCACAGTTCGAGTCCCAGACCCAGCAGCTTAAAACTCATGCCAGGCACATGTGCGTACATGCCCAAGATCCCTAGAGGAGGATGGAGAAGTGCTTACAGTGTGGCCATCCCCCTCCCCCTCCCGGTAAATGATTTCTAACTTTCTGTCTCTCCAACAAGCACACACACCCGTTAGCAAAAGTCTGTTTCTAAAATAAATAAACAAACAAGCAAACAAGCTGGGTATGTGTGTGTGTTCCCAAAATATACCAGTAGGATAGAGAAATGGAAGAGAAAGTATTGCAGCATGACCACATCCCATTAGGGAATGTTTTCTTCCTCTCTGTCTGCTTCTATCTCTGGCAAGTATACTTGACACTGACATTGAAAACAAAATAACTAGGGTCTACCAGATGGCATAGCAGTTACTTTGCTGGACTCCCATAGACAACTGCAGTTCAAGTCCTAGACCTCATAGCATCAAGCTCTTGCCAGGCATATGTTTGTGACATCCAAGATCCTGTTAGGAGACTGGGGGAGAAAGGATCACGGCATGGCCATCCCCGCAGGGGATGATTTCTCACTTTCCCTCTCACTGTTTCCAGCTCTCTGTCTCTGGTAAGTACACATGCCCTATGGCAAAAACCTCTAAAAAATTTCAATTTAAGTGAAATAAAATACCTATGAAAAAAGAAAACTCTGTTCAATAAGTGCAAAAGAGGAACTATCATATTATGTCCACCTGTGTGAAAAGAGGACATGAGATGGGGACCAGCAGTTGGCATAATGGCTATGTCGCTGGACTCCCATGTAGTTGACTGCAGTTCAAGTCCTGGACCCAGTGGCTTAAACTCACACCAGGCTCGTGTGCATGCGTGCCCAAGATCCTGAGAGAAGAACGGAGGAGAAGGGATTGCAGTGTGGCCATCCCCCCTGGGGAGTGATTTCTCTCTGTCTCTCTGTCTTTCTGGCGAGCGCACGCGCCCTATAGCAAAAACCTCTCCCCCCAAAAAAGAGAACATTAGATGAAGTTAGATTAAATTTTGGACTTTCCTGCTACTCTGTAATGTTAGTTATGAAGATTGGAGCAGGAACGGAAAGACAGCTCCTTTCCCTGGACTTGCACCATTTGGGTGTCTCTCTCCCAGAGGTCTCGAGCCACAGTCCTCCTCCCAGCCGGAGCACCAGAAGCCTTAATTGCTGCTCAGCCTGTCTGGCTCCCTGCTCCGCTGCGCTGCCTAATCAGTCTTCTTTGACTGGAAACTCAATATCCCCTGCCGAAAGCCTGCAATCATACTTGGAAGTTATTTGCATCCAGTTAGATGAACCTTTTCATCCTAGTTCTAAATTGAGTGCCCCAGTGGTTTCAATCCCCTGATAAGTAGGGCAGCTGGATTCTACAGCAGTCACTCTGGGCCACAGTTTTTAGTCACATCAGTGAACCAATGTATAAAACGGACAGAATTGTAAATCTCTTCCTGGTGGGTAAGAAGTGGGAGTAACCAGTGCTAGTCAGTAAAACAGTTACACAGGGTGAGAAGTTTGGCTTCAAGACAGGCAAAGCTTATGTGCCTTGTCCTGGTTGGTCGAGGACACTTCGGGGTTTAGCTGAATTTCTGTAGAGAAGGCATGCCGTCATGTGGCCTGGATATCTCTGGAGATAAAGGTATGGCCATTCACCACCTAGCTCTGGTTGAACATCCTATAGAAACCTTGATACAGCCCCCGTGACACTGGTCTTCTTCCTTCAACTAATGAGTGCCCTGTCATCCCTGTTCTGCTTGGTGTGACAGAAGTTACGGAGCAAAAGAGAGAAAGGCTTGATCACTTGCTATTCACTTTGAGTAACACCAACCTGAAAAGGGTGGGAAGTGAGTAAATGTAGTCCAGTGTGTAAGGACTGAGCCTAGCAGAGGGCTCAACTAAAGTTCTGTTGCTCCTTCCTGGCCCTCTCTGCCTTCCCAGGCATCGGGATTCCTCCCTGCTAATTGCTCCCCTTAACTCCTTCTTGTCAGACAAACACATGCCCATGATCACCGGCTGCAGATTGGACCCTCTGCATCAGCCCTGTCCACAGGCCCAGGAATGCAGCCAGCATCAGTATTTATCTCAAGGTGACACTTGTAATGGATGAGTGCTGCACTTCCTAATCCATTTATGTAATCCTTCCTGCTTTGCTTGCAGTTATTTTCAGGGCTTTAGCAGCAATAAAATGGTTCCTTTCCCAAGACAGAGTTCATTCAATTTAAATCTGGATTGATTATAGCTAAACTTATGACATGTCTTTACAAAGGAAGGGGGAAAAAAAACAGCAATAAACTATGCACAGTGATTATTGAGCATTAATTCAGTTCCCGCAATATCCTCGGCTCAGCATATAACCATTGGGGATAAATCTCTGCCCTTGAGAATCAACACACAATTGCACATATGAAAAGGCACACAGAACAGGGCCTCAGAGCAGTTGTTATTTAATTCCCAATACAAGGGGTCAGCCGACTGTGTAGCTAGTCTCTTTCTAACGACCCTCAATGAAATTAGCTACTTGGTGGGGTGATGGACTCTGGGCCTACCCCTATGTCATCTGTTCTTTCCATTACCCTCAGAGGCTTTCTGCTGACTCTACCTTTGGCCTTTTACCTGGATCCCCAAAGACCATTCCTTTTCACCAAGTAGTCTCGGTTTAAGACTAATGCCCTGATTGGTGCTAGAGTCCAAGGTCACCATGGCAGTAGCTTCTTAACACTGGTGGGATTCCTCCTGTGGCGGCCTGACTGGTGCGCAGCAAACGTGCATGCGCAAACGGTGTTGGCACCTGTTCAAATGAGGACTTTCTTCAAATTGCACTTTTGTAAGATTGTGTGTGTGTGTATGTATGTGTGTGTGTTTGTGTGCATGTGCACCACTCATGATTTGGGTGCCAAATAGGTGGAAATTTGCATGGATTTGGGGAACACTAATAAAAATACAATTTATGCAGCACAATAATATAAATTGGATTTAAGTAAATATGGCTTAGCTCTGAAATAGTGTGATGCTCTTTATAGAAGAGGCTCTTCACATTAGTATATCCCTTAACAATCATTTGTGTAAAGTAATGCACAAAAACGAGAAATAGAAAAGACCTGATTTTTTTTTTTTATCATTTTCATGTTGACCATTTGACTTTAAAGGAAAAAATAATGTAGGAGGAGGAGAATCAAATGGATCAAACAAATAAGAATAGCCAGGATTTATTTAAGTGCCAGGCATGCTTCATTCAATCTTTCAAATACTTACATGTGAGAGAGGAGGAAGTAGAGGTCTAGAGTTGTTAGACAACTTTTCAACTAAGAAGAGGCATAGGCATGGTGTGAAGGCTGAGGTAGCTGTACTGCAGAGCCCAAGCACCCAACCACTGGGCATACTACCATCTAGAACCTCTTACACAAATATGCACATACAGGGCTGTAGGTGGCATGGTAGTTAAGGGGCTGGACTCCCACATAGGCCACCGCAGTTTGAGTTCTGGTCCTGGTAGCTTCAAACACTGGGTGCATGTGTGTGCATGCCCAAAGTCTCAGGAAGAGAATAGAGGGGAAGGCATTTCAGCCTGACCATCCACTCTAGGGGATGATTTCTTGCACCCTATGGCAAATGCCTAAAAAAAAAAAGAAAGCATACACAGAAAATGCTATTTCCTTTAACATTTTGGTTAAGTTTAGAATTAAAATAATGAAACCTTTTCTTCCTCACATTTACTTGCAAAATTTCACTGCCAAGTAAATATATTAGGGTGATTGTCCCTGTTATGTCCTCAATATAATTCAAATTATATTTAAGTATTGGCTTGAAGTTAGGATTTATTTAGAATTAAGAAGGAATTTTTTTTGAGATAAAGACAACTATTTTAAATTGCCAGATGTATCATTTTCTTTCCTCAGAACTATTTTTTTTCTTGCACTAAAAAAAAAAAAAAAAAAAAAAAAAGTGCAAGGAAATTTGAGCCAAGAGGTTGATTTTAGCCCTGACTTTTGTTGTTATTTTTGAAGGGCACATAGGCTCAAAAGAGAAATTGGGTTTTTTACCTTAGGTGACCAGTAATTGAGATCCCAAGAACAGCTTCAGTCCCTGGGTTAAGCTAGGCCTCACAGACTCTTCTCACTCCATGCCGAAAGCACGTGCTGAATGGGCTTGCTTATGGTCGTGTGCTTGCTCACGCCTTGTGTATTTGCTCATACTTGTGTGCTCACATGGTTGTGTTGCTTCCAGTTGACCTGGACAGGCTCAATGATGATGTCAAGCGCTACAGCTGCACGCCCAGGAATTACTCGGTGAATTTAAGAGCAGAGCTCAAGCTGACCAATGTGGTCTTCTTTCCACGTTGCCTCCTCGTCCAGCGCTGTGGAGGAAACTGTGGCTGTGGAACTGTCAACTGGAAGTCCTGCACGTGCAATTCAGGGAAAACTGTGAAAAAGTATCATGAGGTAGGTCATTCTCAAAATCCTTGTTGCAGTGCTGTATTTAGCCTTCCCAGCTGTTCAGCTATGTAATCTGGAAGGGACTGGAAGACACGGCTGTGGCATACAGTTGTTCAAGTTGTTCATGACACAAATGCACCCAGCCAGGGGTATGATTAGGAGCTAAAATTCTAGTGTAAATTTTAATTTATGCTAGTCTTCCCAAGCCAAGTGCCTTGGTCAGAAACTAATTCCATCCTAAAAAAGGGACTCCTTTTTTCTAATTCTGACAGTTTTTCTGTGTACAGTACACAGTACAGCCTTGTTTGGAAATGTATTCTAATAAATGATACAGTGATTTCAGAACTTACTTGGCCTCCTTGCAGCAGTATAATGATATTAATTTACGGATGTGGTTGCTTTAAGAAAATGCTAAGAAACAAACTTTAATTCAATTAAGTGAATTTAAAAATTAAGTGCAGTAAAGATAGCAAAATGTAAATTGTCAGAGACCTATTCATTTTCTAAATGTGAAAGTAATTTTCTTCTAACAAACATTCATTTGTTTTCTAAATACTACTGAGTGCTACCTGGGGAAAGAACTCTTAAGTTATGGAAAAAAATAATGAAAGTAAATATAAAGATATCAAAGGAGCAAAAATTTAAGGAGAGGAATAACCTTTAATAATAATAATCACCAATCTTCATCAGCATTTAGGAGGTGCCAAACACTATTGTAAGTACTCCTTAGCTAATTTAGCAGCTTGTCAACAATGTTGAACCAGATTGCTATTTCTATTTTATCTTTATAGTTGAGGAACTGAAGCCAAATTGGATTAGCATATTAACCAGTGTAACATAGTCAAAAAAAAAAAAAAAAAATCACAGGGCCAGTAACTGATCTCTGATCAACTGGTTCCAGAGACTACAGTCTCACCGTTAGTAATTTTGTGATCTCTTGGGGCCACCAGCTGCCATAGTGGTTAAGGTACTGGATTCCCATATGGCCAACCATGGGTCAAGTCCCTGACTGGGAGACTCGGAAATCATGCTGGGATGTGTACATGCATGCCTAAAATCCCAAGAGGAGAATGAAAGACAAGGGATTGTCACATGGCCATCTCCCTGGGGGCGGGGGGGTTACTTCTCACTTTCCCTGTATCTCTCTAGTCAGTGTACATGCCTTATGGGAAAAAAAAAAGTGTTCTATTAAATAGATAGTCGTTCATTGAGCATAAAATAAAAAATAGACTGAAGAGGAGTTAGACCTACTCCTGTAGTTAGACCTACAGCAGCTCACATTTCCTGATTGTGGGAACATGTTCAAGTTAACTAAAGCTTAGCAACTCCATTTTCACACATATGAAATGTGAATAACAAATGTTATCAGATAATCCCTTCCAAGGTTATTCTGAGGATCAAATGACATAATGCACATGACTTGCATTTTGTAAGACATGGAACATAATATAAAAATACATTTTAAAATATAAAGCAAACATTCATGTTAAGGATTATTGTTTGAACTGTTTTCCTTATATACCCACCAAAATAATGAGATAATTTTCTCTAAATAAAATCACCAGCTGTCCAAAGCTCATTGTTTTTAAGTTTAATTATTTCTTTTAATGAGAGAAAGATAAGCACCCTCAACAGGGTCTCGCTTCATGATTCCCACCCCCCAACACCTACCTCCTCACCACCCTTTTAGCCAGCCAGACCATGGGCATGTGCTCATGCTTGACAGGTACACTTTGGGCTGGCGACCGAACCCTCGTCTTCATACAGCTCCCAGCATTGCAGGGCATTGTATAACTGTGCCGATGCCGTTAGATCTAAAACTGGTTTGGAGGCTGTGAGAGGTTGTTTTTGTTGTCGAGGTTGTTTTGTTTTTTAATCTTGAAAACAATACAACGGTACTAGTACATTAAGAGGCAACTATTGGTCTAAATGAAAATAGGAATGTCATAACTGATATTTTTCAACTTGGGAACTGTAGGAAGTCATGCTACAATGACTATGCTTACCTTAGACAAGGGAAACGTTTTTTTAGACCTATGTAGAATATTTTTTCTTAGTCATAAGAATTATTTACTCCACCCACTGTTTTCAAAGGGAAGAAAAAGTTCTCATATCTAGAGAATGCTATCATCTGTGTTCATTGTGTTTTATTTTTGTATGAACTGATGAACTCTAGATTGGATGTCGTCCTTCATTTCTAAGAACCTGAATTTTGCAATACTTATACTCTGGGGATAAGTGCAGAATGCAGTCATTAGGCTTGGGTTTAAATAATCTAGGAAGTGACAAATCTTTACCTAGTAATAACCAAGAAAGAACATTTGTATTTAGGTCTTTGATGTATTTGTGAAATGTTTTATTTTGAATCTTGAGCCTGGTCTGGTAGAAGTTTCAGCTTTATTTCTTATTTAATTGCTTATTGTGGAAATGTAACTAACCATACACCAAAAGGACTCTTGCCTCCCAAGATGGTTAAACTCTAAAGAACTCTGAAGAACCCAGGCACCCTACTTCTCCTCATTCCTTTCTCACTTCTGAACATAATAACCATTACCTGTGAGTTTCTGTTCACATTTAATATCTAGAGGAAGAAACCCTTGATCTCTTCATTCAGTCACATGTTGGTTTCCTTTTGAAATGACACTCTACAGCATCACTTTAAAACATGTGTCATAATATTTTTACTTCTGCTATTTTTTACTGCAGAGCTCTATACAAAATCACTCTGCCAAGTGCTGGACTAAAGGACAAAACAGCATCAATCACTCAGTCAGTAGCTACATACCTGGAACAAACACTTCTGTCATATTTTCCCTAGACTCCGAACATACCCTCGAAATATGTCACAAGTATCACTGTCAACAGCAATGGAAAAGAGAAAGCTTGTTCCATCTCCAGAAATAGGGGTTACTTGAACTTAGTCTCATGATGGAAAACTTCTAGCCCTTTATTCTATTAGTTTTGTGTCTGTATTCTAATCTCAGAGAAATGAGGAACTGGTTTTCTCAGGTCATGGTTGCAACTGATGAGATGTGAAATGAGTTTCTATGAGAGATGAGCACCCTTAAGGGGGTAACGAGAACTTGTCACATAGTAGGCCTGTGTGATCCTCCACAGATATTAGTGCTCAATATTAAGGAATTAAAATCTGGGAAATCAGAAAGTTCCAGAGGAAGCCAACACCGTTGCCTTTTACATGCCGCTCTACTTCTGTAGGTGTTTGAACAGTCTCCACTGTGTAGTAAAATGTGGCCATCTTGCTATTTCCTGCTCCCGAATGTTTGTAGTTACCCTGTTCAATTATTTTCTCTCTCCTAACAGTCGTTCTAGGCCTCTTAGAACATATAGGTGCAAGGGAGAAAAAAATATCCTTCCTTCTATCCAGGCTAGGTTCATGGCTGAAGCCACTGTGACAAAAGACAGATTAACAGAAGTCTCCAAAGGTATTTGGGTATTTAATGTAATTTTTATATGACACAGGAGTCTTCATATGGAAATAACAGTTTAACCTTGTTATTTATAGTAGGTTTGATGAAGAGTAGATAGCCATGGAGAAATATGATAGGGAAAGGATCTGATATAATATTAATAAACCAGGGGAAACAGCAAGGCCTATTTGTTCCAGTACACTTCTGTGTCCTTTCATCTTTGAAGACAAGGATGTTCCTCTCCTCTGAGTGTAGGGAGGGCACCTCTCATGTGAGGTGCTTATGTTCTGCTTCATAGGAAGTTCAAAAAGAAAAAACAAATCCTTGTTAGGTTTTATGACTTACTTCAGGGTAGAAGGATTGACCTTCCAGCTTCTGCCATTTCCTCAAATTCCTTAAGCTTTCAATATGTTGGAGCAGCATTCCTGAACTCCGTCATAAGCTATAAAACATACTCAGGGGAGCAATTTTTTTTTTTTTTTAAAAAGAGAAGGTTCCAGAAAACATATTGTGTAGACACTAAGAGGATACTGTTATTTTAGTTCTTTCCTTACCCGATGATTCATAATGAAGGAAGGTGATAGTCCCTAGAAATATGGTGACCTTTTAAATTAATACGTACTGGTTTCATCCATTGGTCCCTGGCTACATCCATTCAGTCAGCAGACAAAAATGTAGGAAGCAGCAGGGAGAACATGGTAGAAATGAACTTTCTCCATCCTTCTCATAATTTTGTCATGATAATGACAAAACCACCTGCACTGTCTCCTAGAACTTTCTGCAGCCACAGAGCTGCTCCATTGCACTAAGGGCAGTGACCAGCAACATGTGGCTATTGAACACTTGGAATGTGCATAACACAAGTAGAGACTGAATTTTAAGTTTTAGTTGATTTTAACAATTGGAATGTAAATAGCCACACAAGGCCCGTCACTACCATATTGGATAGCACAAACTTAGACCTCTGTTTCTGCCACTTTTACAACATCTAAAATCATTACTGTCCCTGGACAAAATGGAAAAAGAAGTGACTTTGGAGGTTATTTTTTCTTTTGCCAAAAGGTACGTGCACTTGCCAGAGAGAGACAGAGAGGGAGAGGGAGGAAGTCCCGCCAATAGGGCTGGGTCATGACGTGATTCCGCCTCTATTTCTCCATCCTGTTGGGCTTGGGGAGCATGCTCACACACATACACACACATTCCCCATGTATTTTTCAAGCCACCAGAGTTGGTATTCGAACTGTGTGGGTTGGCCATGTCGAATCCAGCTCCCTGAACCACTAGGCCACAGGACTAACTTCAGGAGGATATTTTTTAAATGTAGAATTTATTTTTAAATTTATGTTTTAGACAGGTCTTGCTACATCATTATCCTCTTGTCTCAGCTTCCCTAGTCTACCAACTATAAGCATACGCCACTGTGCCTGGCATTTTAGAGTAGGCTTGGAATTAAACCTGAGCCTCCTATGTGGCCTCAGCTACTAAGAGTGGCATTATCTGCTAGTAGGCACTACCACAGCTGGGCCACTGATACAGAATTTTACTTTAAAATTTGCATTCTATTACAGTTTAAGAGTC